GCGAGGGAGCTCTGAGTGTAAGCTCTCCCTGCTCAGCTCCCTGCACTGATGCCGGGAGCCAGAAAATGACTTCACTCCGGCTCCCGGCATTACTGCGGGGCGCGAGGGAGATGAGCAGGGAGAGCTTACACTCAGCACTCCCTCACTGCCTGTCCGCACCCTGTGTGTGTATGGCTGTCTTTGTGTATAGGTGTATGGCTGTGTATGTGTATGTTTGTCTGTGTGTATAGGTGTATGGCTGTGTATGAGTATGGCTGTCTGTGTGTATAGGTATATGGCTGTCTGTGTGTGTATAGATGTGTATAGCTGTATGGCTGTGTATGTGTATGGCTGTCTGTGTGTTTGTATGGCTGTGTGTGTGTGTTTGTATGGCTGTGTGTGTGTGTGTGTATGTGTGTGTGTATGAAAGGGTCCCCTTTCCTCATCCCCTGTCTCCCTTCCTCAGCCCCGGTCCCCCTTCCTCAGCCCCTGTCCCTTTCCTCAGCCCATGTCCCTTTCCTCAACCCCTATCCCCTCTCAGCCCCTGTCCCACCCTTTCCCTGCTCCTTTCCCCCTCTCAGCTCCTGCCCCATGCCCCCACCACAGCCCCATAACATCCACACTACAGCTCCTCTCCCCCAATTGCAACCCATATCTCCCACACCACAGCCCCTTTCTAAAATTGTAGCCATCAACCTACTTCAGCCCCTATTCCCCCCTACATTTCATAAACCCCCAATTACAGCTTATACCCTCCACTACAGCCCATGTCCCCTTACTCAGCCTCTGTCTACTGGTTTTAAAAGTGTAAAGTTTGGGTGTATGTGTGTGTATGAGTATGTCTGTGTGTTTGTGTGTGTCAGTATGTCTGTGTGTGTGTGCGTCAGTATGTCTGTGTGCGTCAGTATGTCTGTGTGTGAGTGCGCCAGTATGTCTATGTGTGTGTGTGTGTGTGTGTGTGCCAGTATGTCTGTCTGTGTGTGTGAAAGGAAGTCGATCCTCATCTCGCCCCACAGGGATTCTGGGATTCTGGATAGACACGCACTTAGGAGTACTTCGTCTGCCACAGTCGCAGGTTCCACAATCCGCTTTGAGTACTGGAGGTTCCCCTCTGCACACTTGCCTGGAAAGGCTCCATTAATGGAAAGGCTCCATTCGGTCCTGTTACAGACTTTGTCGTGAACTCAGACGCGAAGCTTGGGGTTGTGGAACTGCTTGCGCGACCACGTCGACTGGGTCCCTGGGATGATCGGAGGAGCTGCCTTCCACATCAAGGGTCAAGACCTGGTGAAAGTTTCTTTCACAGGTCCAAGCCCACCAATGCTCTTCAAACTATTGTGTGGCTGAGAATGGACAACATGACGACTTTACAGTACATCACCCGTCTTGATGGAACCAGGTTACAACTTCCCAAGTACATTGGATCTAACAGCAGGTTGGATTTTTTCCATGATTTGAGGAACACCAAGGACTGGCATCTTCATCAATCGATCTACCGTCACATCTCGTAGTTGAAGGGTCCATTCGGGATTGATCTATTTATCTCCCGAATTATTTACCAGCGAATCAAGCATCGTTGGCTTTGTTGGCTGAGCGTTAAAACAGCAAATATGAAGCCTCCTGTCATGTTATAAAATTGTAGATTTTGCTAGTTTTAGTGTACATATAATCTTAATTTTATCAATGACATGAGGCGAATATTTCCCTCCTGTTTTTCATCCCTCCCTTGTTTGGTTAGTTGTCAGAAGTTAGGGGTAATCAGGTATATCTGCTTGTTGTTTCTGCTACCTGTTGCTTGTTCATGTTAGCCCTTTTTACGTAGAAGGGTTGGGGATCTCTGTATATTACAGTAATAATGGGTCTTGCACAGGGTGTCTGCATGTTATTTCAGAGTACATTTTATTATCTAACCAGCTCTTTCAATTCTGTTTCTCTCGTTTCAGTTTACAGTCCGTCCATGGTGCCATGTTTGCCATTTCTTCTAGGATGGATGACATCGTTGTATTCTTTATGCCCTTCGACTTTGATTTCACAACATTGTTTTTTCTGTTTTCTGTTCCTCCTATTATTCGCCTCCTGTCATCAATAAAATTAAGATTATAGGTACACTAAAGCTAGCATGATATACCATTATCTGGGACAACATCATTTATCATCCAAGAATAGTTTTTTTTGTTTTTTTTAAAGGACATATACTATATGCTATATTATTTGTGCATAGACAGGATTGTTTGGTCCCTCAAGAATAGTATGGTCCTATCATTATTAGTTTTGCAAATTACCTTATGCAGATGTGATTTTATTTTTAGGAAAACTGTTAAGTCCTAAGGTTGATGTTAAATGTTGATGTCAATTGTAATATTAATTTTAACAGGTATTCAATTCTTTCAAAAACCATGAAGTTTTAGTATCATCTACATTGTGAGCTATCAGGATACATCATAAAATAAGTTAGGAAATTCAACGTTTTATTCGTTCAGGAAATTAAAATTATGTACAGTTACAACCTACTCCATTCTATTAAATTAATTGGATATTAAACTCTAAGTACACTTCATGTGATTTAATAAAAAACTCAAATTTGCACGCAACTCCCTCCTATTAATGTTTTCATTCATTTTTCACTTAATAGAAGTAGTATATTTGCATCAATATATCTTTCAATATGTCCTGGGAGTACAGCATAGAGGAAATTCCATACATCAAGTTATGATTGGCTTAAATACATTTCAGACATTTTGTGTATATAAATCAGGGCTATTCTGCCAGGATTTATTCATAGACTGTGATTCAGCTAGTAATGAGACAATTCTCCTTTATTCCCAGTGAATAAATTGGTTGCCATGCATTCTGAATCACTGGTTCAGAAAAAAAGTCACTTTGTGACAAACTTTACTTCATATGGAGTATTACATTCTAACACTGTTCCTCTATTTTCTGGACAGCAGAACAGGTAGAAGATGACTTGTTATGAAAAATACATTTTTTGCAACACGTCTCCTATATATATAAACACACCGCTATCTACCAAAAATATAGACATATACCTATCTACCAAATATATAAACACATGCACACAGCTATCTATCTATCTATTTATCGTTCTGTCTGTCTATCGATCTGCCTGTCGGCCTATCAAGTTTATAAACACACAAATATAAAAGCTTTTTTGTCTTACATTTTATTCCTCTCTTAAGCTTTTTCTTAATCAGTTTGGACTGTTTCTTTTGCACTGTAGATCTAACAGTAGGTTCAATAGATAGTGATTCATAAATATATTATATGAACATACTATCAAATGTTCATGTACATGATTGGTGTGAGGACATGCAGATATAAATTTGGAGCTTGCACTTTAAAACAACCTAGAACAGCTACTGGTCCCATTGAATGGTAATTAAGAGAAGAGTCTTATGGTCAACACAATCATTCGTCTCTGAGGAACCCATTATTAAAATGGAAGCACACTTGGCAGAGTTTTGATTGGCATTCAGAGGCAAGAGTTGTATTAATGCACATATTAACAGAACCTTGTTTTCAAAAGTTAAAGGAAAAAACTTTGAAAACAAGTACCATAACTATTAGATATTTCTGTAGGGGTTATTGTGCCAGGAGTCCCCCTCACCCAATGTAGAAGTCAAAACTTTTATTAATGGGTTGATTTCTGACCTGTAATCACCCAAGTGCCACTGCAAACATTTGCTTTATTGGAAGGAAAATCAGAAGCTCCTAAGCAAGTACCTAGAGGGTAAGCTGATTGCCCTATTCCAATTAGCTAAGCATTGCATCGTCAGACATGAAGAGATCTCCTATAATAAGTCAGACAGTTAGTAAATGGTTTGACTTCTTACATTGGAGGGGCACCAGGGCAACCCATTGTAGTAGTTATGGTGTGTAGAATGTTACTTAAATATAAATATATATGACATGTTTTTTTTTTTATATATATATACTTTATTTTTTCATCTTGACAAAAGTAGCATAAAAAAACATAAGCGATAAGGCTTGCGCAGAAGCCCGTTGGTCCACATTATAATTGAACATATTTATACAGGTGTCATTACGTAGCAAATCCAACAATCTTCATAACAATAGGCTCGTTTGGCTACTTGTCAAGGGATTTTTCTATTTTTCTTTTTTTTTAATAAAATAACATAACATCAAAAAACATTAATATACTTCTTAAATAAGTATCCCGCCCTACCTATTGGCACACATTCAATGATGCAATACGGGTGTCTTTTGAAGTGGGATTCCGTTAACCCTATGTGTTCCTTATAGTTTGCCTCCCCGTGTAAGGGGACAGGTTCTGACATCCGTTGGTTGTTCTGCTTTTTGGCTGATTCCATTTAGCTCACTCTACATTGGAAGTTGGTGTACTACATTAGATATGTGTTGTAAAAAATAAAATAAAATAAAAAAATAGGAAAATCGAAGAAAAGAGTATAGGAGAGGTGGGGGAGGGAAAAGGGGGGGGTTAAGCATCAGGCCTTTCCGTTACGCAATGTGTAGGGTCCTCTAGAGGATGTTACTTGCCTTCCTTGGTCTCGTATGGTCCCTACTCTTGTCTCAAGGGGTCTAAGACATCCCTCAGTCTGCCAGTTCACTGTTCTGCCATGGGTCTCATAATTTATCAAAGCTGGTCATGGTCCATCTTAGTCGGGCGGTCAGGTTATCCATTAGGTATACCTCTTTTATATTAGAAATGACCCTCTGAATCGGTGGTGGTGTGGTTTGGAGCCATGTCTGTGCCATGCTCTTATTGCGGCTAATGTAATCTTATGGATCAATTTCTGTTCCCTCCTTGTCCAGTCGTCTAGAGATCTGTTAAGTAGGTATGTCCAAGGGTTTAGTTGTGGCGCTCTATGAAAGATTCTTTTTATGAGGTTATGTATGTTTACCCAAAAGGATTGTGCTTGGGGACATTCCCACCACATATGAATGAATGTACCCTTGAGACCGCATCCTCTCCAACAGGTGTCCAAAGGTGTTTGTTTCATATGATACAGTTTTACGGGTGTGGTGTACCACCTAAACATTGTTTTATACGCCTGTTTTTGGAGGGTTACGCATATAGATAGTGATGTGTTTGCTTCCCAAATTTCTCTCCACTCTACTCCCTCTAGTACTTCCCCTATATCTTTTTCCCAGGCTTCTGTGTAGGCTAGCGTACCCCATTCCTTTGTTTCTGAACTTATATGTGTATATAGGTTAGTTATTAAGCCGTTTCTTTCAGGCACATCCTCTCAAAGAAAGTCTGTGGTCTCTTGGCAGCCTGCAGTACCTGAGGTTGTTGTACATAGTCCCTAATTTGCAAGTACCTGAAAAAGTCTGTGGGAGTTAGATGTGCTATTTGTTTTAGGTGGTCAAAGGAGACTAGTTGCCCATTGTCGAACATGTGGCAAATCCTTTTCTATTCCCACCCTTTCTATGTTTTTGAAGACTTTTGCTGCCGTACCCAGGGGGAATGCCCTGTTTCTCAATAAGGGAGTCAGTGGGGATGGGGAAGAGGCCAGTTTGTATTTGAGTGCTGAGACATCCGAAATTCGTAGTGAGTTCAGTATAGCGGGGCACATTGTTTTCATGATGGGTCTATCTTCTCTGGGAACCCAGAGATGGAACTGTGGGAAGTCCATTCCCGTCATTAGAGACTCCAGGTCCACCCACCTTCTCTCATCTAATGGTGCATGCCACATAGCCACCTGGGCTAACTGGGCCGCCAAGTAATAATAATATAAGTTTGGCAGGCCCAGACCACCCCTCTGTTTATGCCTATATAGGATATTCCTGGCGATTCTATGGCGACGATTTTGCCATATGAAGTTCCCTATGGCTTTTTGTAAGTGAGCTAAATCGGTTTTGAGAATTTTTACTGGTAGTGCTTGAAAAAGAAATAATATTCGGGGGAGGATATTTATTTTAACTGTATGTATACGTCCGATCCATGATATGGGTCTGTCTTGCCATTTTTCCAAATCTTGTGTTAGGCTTTGTATAAGTGGGGTGTAATTTAGATGGTATAACTTGTTTGGGTCCCCTGATAACTGTATCCCTAGGAACTTCAGGTCTTCTTGTGCTATGGGTATGTTATATGTAGCCCTCAATGCTGCTGTGTCCTCCACCGACATGCCCATCGGGAGGGCACTGGACTTATCTAAATCGTCCTTGTAACCAGAAAAAGCCCTGGATAGCAACAGGGTTTCTTGTAGTGGACTCTTGTGGTTCCGTAAGGGTCAACAGAACATCATCTGCATATGCAGAGACTAGGAACTCTTGGCCGCCTATCTTTATCCCCTTAATACGTGGATTGTGGTGCAACGCTTGTAGAAGGGGTTCAAGCGTATGCACGAACAGGAGAGGGGACAGGGGGCATCCCTGTCGTGTTCCATTCTCCAGTCTAAAGGGTTTGGATCCCATTCCTGCTATTTTGACTTGGGCTGAGGCTTGGCTATACATTGCTTTGATTGATGCTATGTATCTAATGCTATGTATCTTTCTGGGAAGCCAAGCTAAATAGATAGGTCCATTCTACCCTATCAAAGGCCTTCTCTGCATCAATGGAGACCAATAGAGTCGGCGTGCGTACGGTTTTCTGTCTCCTGATAAGGTTGATGTTCTGTCTGGTGTTTTCAAAAAGTTGTCTATCTGTTATAAATCCTACCTGGTCTGGGTGTATCAACTTCTTCAGGTAAGGGTTGAGACGATCTGCTATGATTTGTGCTAGGATTTTGATGTCTTGGTTGATTAGAGAGATAGGTTGTCTGGTGACAAGGGGTCCCTGCCTGATTTATACAGAAGTATTATGTTGGCCATGGACATCTCACCCCCCATGGTTCCATTATCCATAAGGTGGTTAAATAGTGTTTCCAGCTTTGGTGATAGGTCCTCCTTAAATGTTTTGTTGTATGATCCATCGAAGCCATCCGGTCCTGGGGCTTTATTGACCTTCAATCCCGTTATCGCCCTGTCAACTTCCTCGATTGTAATGGGCTCATTTAAAAGGGATGCAACTGCTGTAGAAAGTTTCGGTAATTTGAGGTCTTTCAAAAATGTATGCATGCCTACCTTTGCTGCCTCTTGTGTCGTTGAGTCCCTGGGGGTATGATTATACAGTTTTTCATAGTAGCTTGTGAAGACTTCGTCAATATCAGTTGGGTTTGTTTTAATAGATCCGTCCGCATGTTTGATCGTGGTGATGGGGGTCCGAGTCTGTCTGGGGCGTAGGGTTCTGGCCAGCATAGTGTCCATTTTTATTGATTTCTCATAGTAGGACCTTTTCGTCCAGGCCATAGCCCTGGCTGTGTCATCCAGTAAAAGTTCGGATACGGACCTTCTTTCCTCTCTCAGTTGTTCTAGGAGTTGTGGAGAAGGTGTAGCCTTGTGTTTTTGTTCGATTTGTCTCAACGTTTCTAGGCGATGTTTTAGTGTCTTCATCTTTTGTGCTTTTTTCCTCGTGGCTAGTGTGATGCATGTTCCTCTGATCACTGTTTTTAGAGTCACATCTTCAGTTTCATTTGTGATAAAGTACTCTCTAATGTCTTGTCTTATTTCCGCCTGGATGGCCTTGTCACTCAGCAGGCCTGAGCTCAATCTCCAGTTCCATGGGGATGCTGTACAAAGGTTCCCTAAAGTTAAAGAGATATCCGCATGGTCCGACCACGTTATAGATCATATCTTGGGCTCCACTGCCCTGACCATGCCAGCTTTGTTTAATAGAAAGCAGTCAGTCCTGGAATAGGTCCCATGGGGGGCGGAGTAAAACGTAAAGTCACGGACGCTAGGGTGGTGCGCCCTCCAGACATCCATCAAAACCGTATCTTTGATAAATTCATGGAGCATTTTATCTTGGCTCCCTTTACCATGTGATCTCGGCTGCCCCTCTTTAGAGCTTCTGTCCGCGGCTGGACACGGTACGGCATTGAGGTCTCCCCCCACCACCACTATACCATGAGAGAGGGACTTTATCTTCAAGGCTAAGTTTTCCCAAAAGGCCCGGTTACGGGCGCATTGGGGGCATATACATTTATCAAATGAATCTGGTGGGAGTAAAGGGTTCCTGACAGGATAACGTATCTCCCATCTTCGTCTAATTCTGATGATTGCATATGAATCAGGCATTGGTGGTGTATAAGTATGGCCACTCTGTTATCCTTACGATGTGATTTAGCTTCGTATGAGGTGGGGAAGGTGCGGTCTCTCAGTTGAAATGTTTCTCTGAACATTAGGCACCTCTTTTTCGGGGCGTTCAGCCCCTTGACATTTAAAGATGTAATTTTTAAAGACATCTTTTCAGTAGGGTCATGTGCTTACCCTGGTCTGGTATCTTTTCCCTTGTCTTTCCCCTGAGATGCCCAGGGGACCTCTGTGTAAGTTCACTGTCTCCTGGTTGGCCTGTCGCATAAGAGGGATGGGGTAAGGGGTTGAAGGAGGAGTAGAAATAAAATAGAAGAATTAAGTTTTGACTGGACTTACAAGTCGCCAGTCCAGTGTGGGGTGCGGTGCCCAGATCCATTCTCCCAAAGTAATGGGGAATGTGACGGTTGGGTACCTGTACTACAGGGGTGACCACACCGTGAGGTTGTGCAGTATACCAGATGTTCCCAGTGTATTGAGGAGATTGATGTTCCCAGCAGTGCGGGAGGGCTTCTCCACGATTTTCTCCAGAAACAGGGTGGTGGGGGCTATAAGAACTACCGTGGCCAGCTTTTAGCCCACCAGGTGTTCTGTGTAAACGTTAAACATATTTACAGTGAATAATATATCCTTCATGGAGGTACAGTGAGTCCGTGGGCCTCTAGTTTATTTATTTATTTTATTGAGGTGGGGATAAAAACCTTCCCTGGCTTTCGTATTCGATCGTATTGACTGTATACCCTTCCTCCGATCTCCGTCTTACCCTTCCAGAGGTTGATCGATCAGGTTTCATTGGCCCTATTCCCCTGGATATGGTGGGGATATGCCTATGCGCCCAAGGTGTCGTCTTATTGGCTTGTAATGTACCCCCACATGCTAAAGAGGAGGTGTGATTTATATCCAGTCAACCGGGGGGAAGAGAGGTAACTTTGGGCTCCTTTGCCTCCAGGAAGTCCTCCCTGTCACATCGCTACGGGATAACAGCCTAGAGTGATCACCGGATTTGTTGGTTATCTTTCTCAGGCCAAGGCGGTCCAACTCCTGTATGGAGAGGGTATCGTCTTAGGAGGCATCTGGTGTACCCGCTATGTACCATAGGGTTAATGTGTGTTCGTCTGACTGGTCAGAATATGCAAGCTTTAACACAATTATAACTTTTAGAGAACATTTTGAGAGGGCACCAAGGAAGGGCCTCAGTCTTGGATGGGCAATCACTGACGTACACATAGTAATAGAAAGATAAAACATAATGAAGTGCCCAATCCCCGTGTGTCCTTTCTAGGGGTGTTAGTCTCAGAGTCATTGGCACTCTATCCCCTTCCAAGATTCTGTGATATGTCGGTGGTCGAGAGTTCGCCTTAAAGTGGTAGATGGTAAGCTTATTATTTAAATTGTGTCACTATGGCAATATATAGCATATATTATTATTATTTTTCTAAATACTACCCAACCGTAAGTCTGAATCTCAACCCCATCGTAACTCCCGTTGCTTCCTGGGCCTTATCACATGTCCTTGAATAGTCCAGTGCTTGTTTGGGTTTTTTTTTTTTCCTTTCTCCCCTCCCCCCGTGTCCCTCACCCAAATCCCTGGTGCCTATAAATTGCTTATCAATGGTGATGTCCCGAACGGTTCGCCACGGACTCATCATTGAGTAAACTTTGACCCTGTACCTCACAGTCAGCAGACACATTCCAGCCAATCAGCAGCAGACCCTCCCTCCCAGACCCTCCCACCTCCTGGACAGCATCCATTTTACATTCATTGTGAAGCTGCATTCTTAGTGAGCTGTCCAGGAGGTGGGAGGGTCTGCTGCTGATTGGCTGGAATGTGTCATCTGACTGTGAGGTACAGGGTCAAAGTTTACTCAATGATGAGTCCGTGGCGAACCGTTCGTGGCAATCCGTTCGCGAACCGTTCGGCGAACCGTTCGGCGAACCGTTCGGCGAACCGTTCGGGACATCATTACTTATCAACTCACATTTCGGCAGTTCTGGTCTCCCCATCCCGGTGCCCCCCACCCCACAAACATGAGTTTCCCCCATCCATCCATAGATCCAGGGGCCCTTTCTTTACTGAAGCTATCAACCATCCCCCTATGTTGTGTGTCCACAGTACCTTATTCTCCGATGGTCTGCCAGTCTCCGCGTAGGGGCTGTAAGTCAGCATTGTCGATCAGTGTGGGTGGTAGTCTCGGTGGAGCTTGGATTCCCAGATCCGCGAACAGCACGCAGGCATCGTCTCCAGGTTTTAGTATGTGGGT